CCAGGAGTTTGAGGTTGCTGTGAGCTAGGCTGACACCACGGCACTCTAGCCCAGGCAACACAGTGAGACTCTGTCTCAAAAAAAAAAAAGAAAAAAAAATGGTATCTGTGTACGATCTTTGGTCAACTTCTACTTTAGCTTTTTTTTTTTTAAACAATACTGACTACATAAGAGTAATTTTTCTTAATGACAAAAATTTCAAATAAGAACTATTTCAAACATTTTAGTCTTCTGCCTAAAACATTCAGGATATCAGCATAATGATAGGTTGTATCAAATCTCAAATTAATAGAAAGACTCATTAGTTCAGTCAGGCGGGTTGCTAAACCCTTAAATGTGCTCTTACCTGGTTCCCTGTGAAATTCAATATCGGTAGTATATGTATTTTTGAAACACCTTGAAATTGTCTTACATAAAGTTTGGTTGTGGTGAATTTATTTAAAATGTTTTCTTTGAAAAAATTGGCTAAGAAGATCTTCCAATATTAAAAGAAAAAAGGTATTTCTGCAATCAAAGTAAGAGAACTGTAATAAAAGAGGGTAATTGTTCATCCATCATGCCAACTCAAGCTAGGTCTTTCTTTCCAGTGCAGCAACATATTTTAGGGCAACGAAGTTCAGAATGGATACAATGGCCTGTTCAGAAAGCATGCAAGTGATATCAGGTCATTTCTTTTAAGTCAGTATGATAAATTTGTTAGCCAGACTCTGACCAGAGAGAGAGATACAGGAAGTCAAGGTAAGTTGCAGACATGCCAGCTTTGTCGGTTCACATTACAGCTACCTAATGTTGGGCTTTATTTCCTTTTCTTCTTCTTCTTCACTATCATCAACCTGTTGGATGACCAGATCAGCAGACCCATCCTCTACAATCTCCACATAGGATCTATTCTCATCTTCATTCAAGTGCCATCTGGAATCCTTATCTCCATCTGATGGGGACATAAGATGTTGCTCAGCTTCCAAATCAATGGGGAGGCTGTCTATGCCAACTTCGGCAAGGCACTCATTACACAGTCTGTAGCGCCTGGTTCCCTCCTGTACCACTTGCCCTGTCAGATCAGTCACGTGGCGTTTGCATTTTCTGCAGATGAGTTTACACGCCTGGTGGATCTGTGTAGAGATTGAAATAGTGATAAAAAGAGATTTTTCAAAAGCAGGACAGTTTGATATTTTAGGTACCAGTTCACAAACTTAAAATGTTCAAAGTCATGCATTAAACTCAAATTAACATCTAATTCTTAGAAGATTATAGGTTTTGGTGATAAATTGATGTCACGGAAATATTAAACGTCAGCTTTTTCTAAATAATGGCTATCATGTTTTTATTATTATGCAATGAATAATTTCACACATCCCTTAATCTGAAAATATTTTGATATCTGAGGTAACAAAAGGATAATAATAATTGCAAACACTTACTATGTGCCATGTACTGTTCTAAGGACTTTACCTATCTTTTTTTTTTTTTTTTTTTTTTTTTTTTGAGACAGAGTCTGACTCTGTTGCCC